CATGAACCACCTAAGCAGTCTTCTTTCTCTGCCCTGCACCCACCCATCTGTTTCCACATGAAGCCAGAGGGATCTTTTAAAAGCTTTTGAAACCTGGCCCTGCGTTATGCTGTCTGTATGACTTTGGGCAAGGGCCAGAACCACTCTGGGGTTCCCTTTTCTCACCTGTAAAATGGGGATGATAATAGCATTGACAGAAATGGCATGGCTATTGTGAAGATTAAATGAGTTAGTCCATAGTGTTGAAAATGTGGCCTAGCATGTGGTCCGTGCTCAGTCACGGTTTAATTATTGCAATATTTATAAGACAGACCTGGGCTGGACTCCGGCTCTGCCACTCACTCAGTTTGGCCCTTTGCACAAGACATTTAGCTGTCTGGGCCTTGGTTTCCACATCTGTAAGATGGGGATGGCCATTTATTCATTCATCAGATTTTGCTGGAGCGCCTGCTCTAGCCCTGTTCTAGGGACTGGGGATTCAGCTGTGAACAAGATAAAGATCCTTACCTTAGGGAGCTCACAGTTGAGTGGGGGAGACAGTAAGCAAATTGAAGAGCTAGTATGTCAGCTGGTGCTGAGTTCTGTGGGTATAAATTAAGCAGGGAAGGGGGGTGGAGAGTGCCACAAAAGGGGTACAGTTGTAGACAGGATGGTTAGGGAAAGCCCCACTGAGCAAAGACCTCAAGGAGGAGAGGAGGGAGCCCTGAGGACATCGGGGGAAGAGCATTCCAGGCAGAGGCACAGCCAATGCAGAGTCCCTGAGGTGGGAGCATGCCTGGTGTGTTCTGCGAGCACGGAGAGACCCAGGTGGCTGGAGCCGAGTGAGCAAGGGGGAGTGTGGAAGGAGATATGGGCAGAGACCTTGTCTGTAAAAGGTTTGGTACAGGATTTTGTGCATAGCAGGGCCCAGGACATGGTACCTATCCACATTATCCTCCTCATCATCAGTATTATTTGGGTGGATGGGTGGCAGACGGGTGGATGATGGGTGGATGGGTGATGGGCGATGGATGGATGATGAAGGCACAGCCAGCACCTGACTGCCCCTCTGATGTAAAAACCAGTGCTCTCAAATGTTAAAATTTTTTGAAAAAAAACAAAACAAAACAGCACTCTCTAAAGGTGACACTCACCTCGCACTGTGGCAGGAGCAGGAGGGAGAGCTTTCTACAGGATGAGTGAGGCTCTCCACCCCTCTTCTCCCACAGCCTCAAAGCGGAGGATCCCTGTGTCCCAGCCGGGTATGGCCGACCCCCACCAGCTTTTCGATGACACAAGTTCAGCCCAGAACCGGGGCTATGGGGCCCAGCGGGCACCAGGCAGCCTGGGCTACCCTGCAGCCTCCACCTTACCCCAGGCAGCCTTCCTGGCTGATCCCATGTCCAACATGGCCATGGCCTATGGGAGCAGCCTGGCCGCGCAGGGCAAGGAGCTGGTAGATAAGAATGTGAGTAGCCAGGGGTGCTGGGCATGGGGGGAAGGCAGGGGCCACAGGGCCTCAGGCTTGAGCTCTGCCTCCCCAGATTGACCGCTTCATCCCCGTCACCAAGCTCAAGTATTACTTTGCCGTGGACACCCTGTATGTGGGCAAAAAGCTGGGCCTGCTCTTCTTCCCCTACCTGCACCAGGTCAGTGCCACCCCTGCCGCGGGGGGCGTGGGTCTGTGGGAAGGGTCAGAGGCTGGGGCAAGCGTGAGGGGCAGGGCTGGTGGATTTAAGGAAGGGCCTGTAGGCAGGACCCCCTCTCTGCGGGTCCTGCCTGCTCCCTCCATTATCCCCACAGGACTGGGAGGTGCAGTACCAGCAGGACACACCAGTGGCCCCCCGCTTTGACGTCAATGCTCCGGACCTCTACATTCCAGGTTTCACCTGACCCACTACCTTCCTAGTGCCCTCCTCCCTCTGGGTGGGCATGTCTTGGGCAGGGGTTTGGGTACCTTTGAGTCCCAAGATGGTCCTTCCTCCTCTGACCAGTGTCTGTGTATCTGCCTCCCACAGCAATGGCTTTCATCACCTACGTCTTGGTGGCTGGCCTTGCATTGGGGACCCAGGATAGGTAAGGGAGTCTTGGGGCAGGTGGAGGGGGTGTGGTCTGGGGGGTCAAGGGTCAGTCAGGAAAGTCCGGGTTCCCTCTCAGAACAGCCCCAGCTTGCTCCCACTTGGCTCAAGACAGAGCCCTGGGTATTGTGCCCCACATCACTCTGGCCTTTCCCTCTCCTTCCTCCCCACGTGCACCCACACCACACCTTGTGTGAGTGACCCTCCAAATCCCTCGCCACTGGACCCAGCCTCATCCTTCCTCTCTCCTAACTAGCCACCTCCCCACCCCCACTGCAGCAGCAGCCAGGGGGGTCTTGTCTGAGATGCCGGCCTGGCCATGTCCCACCCTGCTCAGAAGCTGTCCATAGCTTCCCCGGTCAAGCCCCCCAGCCCTCTCTCCTAACTAGCCACCTCCCCACCCCCACTGCAGCAGCAGCCAGGGGGGTCTTGTCTGAGATGCGGGCCTGGCCATGTCCCACCCTGCTCAGAAGCTGTCCATAGCTTCCCCGGTCAAGCCCCCCAGCGCCTTAGCCGGCGCTGCCCATCTGTGGAGCCCCTCTCTGCCCCTCCCCCTCACTCACTCTGCTCCCCCACTCTGATCCTCTTTCCATTCCTCCGGAGGGCCTGGCGCTGCCTCCCCACGACCTTTGCTCAGAGTACTTCCTCCCCTACATCACCTGCTGAGCACCTGCTCGTTACAATGTCTCCAATTCAATGTCACTTCTTCAGAGAAGCCTTTCTGCCCACCAGACTAGGTCAAGCCCCCATCTCTAGTTCCTAGTCCCCTGTTTATTTCCTTTATGTCACTGAAAACAACTGTCATTTGAATGAATAAATTAATTGTTAAGGCCCTGGGAGAATGGCAGAGACCAAGGCCCTTTGTCCCTGACTAGTTCCTTAGTCCAGGCCTCAGCTCAGGTGTCCCCTCTTCTGGGAAGCCCTCTCTGACTCTCCCTTCCTCACTGGGTCAGGCACAGCCCTCTGTGCTTCCACCATCCTCGGCCTGCCCTCCTCTCTGGAGTGGGATTTCCATGAGGATAGGCCCAGATCCATCTTGGTCACTGCCAGGTCTCCAGCCCCACCCAACACAGGGCTGTCCCCAGGCAGATGCTGAGGCAGCATCTGAGCTGGCCACCTAAATGACAGCTTGGGTGCTGGCAGGTTCTCCCCAGACCTCCTGGGGCTGCAGGCGAGCTCAGCATTGGCCTGGCTGACACTGGAGGTGCTGGCCATCCTGCTCAGCCTCTACCTGGTCACTGTCAACACAGACCTCACCACTATTGACCTGGTGGCCTTCTTGGGCTACAAATATGTTGGGTGAGTATCCCCCACCCTGCCTGCCAGTCCCAGCCCATAGGCCTCTTGCTCAGACCTGCCTTCCCCTCTCCTTCCCCCCAGGATGATTGGTGGGATCCTCATGGGCCTGCTCTTTGGAAAGATTGGCTACTACGTGGTGCTGGGCTGGTGCTGTGTGTCCATCTTTGTGTTCATGGTGAGCTGGGGCTCAGCGGGTGTGAGGCTGAGGGCACAGGCCTCCTGGGCAGAGTTGGGGGTCCCTGGAGGCATCTGAGCATGGAATGTCAGGTGGGGAGTTTTAGACCACAGCCACATTTCTGAACTGAAGAGCCCTGGAGTGGCCGCCACAACCTGGGGGTCAGAAGGGATTCCTGGAAGAGGGAGTGTCCAAGCTGGGGCCTGGAAGAAGAAAAGGAGCCAGCCAGGCTGCTAGGGGCTGGGGTACCCAGCATGCTGGCTCTGGGCTGAGCTCTCAGCCTTGCTCTCCTCTCCTTACATGGTTGGCTTTCCCGCCAAAATTTCCCCCAGAAGGAGATTCTCGGAGAGCCCTTCCAACTGGAGTGGGGGTGCTAGTTAAGAGCACTGGGATCCACCAGGCCTGGGTTGTCCCCAGGCTTTGCTAGATCCTGGGCAAATCACTTCCTCTGTTTAAACTTCAGTTTCCCCTTTTGTAAAATGGGATGATGAAACTTGCCCCTTAAGGTAATGGGAGGGTTTGATGTGAGCATGTGTGAGAAGGTGGGCCAAACCTGCATGTCTTGAAAAATTGTCATCTGGTCAACATAAGAGGTTGGCAGCAGGTAGGCCCGAGTCTCACCACCCGCTACAGGCAGGGTATCCACAGTGAGGTTTTCTCCCCACTCACTTACAGACCTTGCCTGGCATTTGAGTTTGAAACCCTCATATTTTGCTCACAGGGCCTGGAGAAGAGCAAGTCCTCACCATGTGTTAGGAGATTTGGGGAAATCAAGGTCCTCAGGAGCAGAAACCTGAGGCTGCAGAGCGGCAGGGACTTGTCCCCAGCTGTCTGGTATTTAGGGGCAGAGGCTGGAAGTACAGCCAGGCCGCCCACCCTGGCTGAGGGCTCAAGGGTAAACCCCTTGATCCCTGTCTCTCTCCTCCCCACCCAGATCCGGACGCTGAGGCTGAAGATCCTGGCAGAGGCTGCAGCTGAAGGGGTCCCAGTGCGCGGGGCCCGGAACCAGCTGCGCATGTACCTGACGATGGCCGTGGCGGCGACGCAGCCTCTGCTCATGTACTGGCTCACCTTCCACCTGGTGCGGTGAGGCTGGCCCGGCCCAGGCCTCCAGCTGCCTCTCCTGGTGGCCTCCGCGCGCGCTGCCGCCAGACTCATCTCACTCCGTCTCACGGCCGGCCGCTGGCCCCGGGTCCAGGCGCCGCCCCGATCCTGAGACACCCCACCCCCACCCCAGAGAGATCTTGAGCTGCACAGGCCGCCGCGCCCCGCCCCGCTGCGGCCGCTGTTAACAGAAACAATAAACCCTGATGGGCACGGCGTGGCAGCCTCTCCTTGGCTGGGCAGGGTGGCGGCTGCCCGGCAGGGGGCGGAGCTGGGGACCAACAGGGACAGACAGGGGCGGGGCAGGAGCCGAACACTCCGCTCACTCCTAACCAGGAGGCAGAGAGGAAGGTTTAATGAGCCCCTCCCAGGACCCCTCAGTGGCGAGTGTCCTTCTTCTTGTCCTTCCCTTCCTTCTTCTTCTTCACCTTGGGCTTCTTGGCCTTGGCCGGGGAGGTGTCATGCTGCTTGGAGACAGCACCATGGGGCTGTGGGGCCAAGGGCAGTGGGTGGGAGAGAAGAGAGATCGTTCTGGGCTGGAAGCAGGGACTGGACCCATCCCGCCCCAGCGCTGGGACTCTGACTCGGACCTGGAGCACAGGGCACATGCTTAGGGGGAGGGGAGCCCCTTACCTTCACCTCTGTGTCTGAGTCGCTGGAGCTGCTGCTACTGGAATCTGAGGAGCTGCTGTGGCCATGCTAGATGGGGGGGATGTCACCATGAGCCGGGAGCCGCCTGCCCCGCCCCCACACCCCATTGGAAGCGGGATTGTGGTATGTCTATACAACAGAATACTATTCAGCAATTGAATAGTCGAGGGCCCGAGAGTCAAAGGCAACCCCCACTCTTCTACCCCTCCACCCCCTCGCGGCTTGCCAGGTAGTGAGGTGACTTACCCTCGGATTCTGAGGTGTCCCTGCCTCTGGGCAACCCTGAACTTTGGGGGGGCTGTGCTTAGGGCCTCCAACCGGGTCTGCCCCCGGGGGCTTCTTGGAAGTGGACTCCAGGGCTGCAGAGAGAAGAGAAGTTGGGTGGGTTGGCGCAGGCAGCAGGCAGGCCCCTGCATCTCAAACCCGCCACTCCCCAGGAGCCCACCTGCCGTCAGGTCAAACTCCATGGTGCTGAGAGATGTGTCCGGAGGGCCAGGACGGCTTGCAGTAGTGCCGAGAAGGGAGGTGGGGAGGCAGGGGGAGGAGCAGCGGGACCTGCCCGCCCAAGGAATTCTGCGGAGCTCCGCCCGACCTTTGTCCTAGGTCCTTAGCCCTGACTCACCGCCCCTCCCTGGCACCACCCAGCTTTTCCTCTGTGGGAAATGAGGAAGGGGCACAGTTGGCTGCCTCCTACCCAGCCTTGGCCTTCGAGGGGGGCTGCGTGGATGGGATTCAAGGGTGCCGCCTGTGTCCCGTGTACCACGGTAATACTAACACTCCGTATGCGCCTGCGTTTCCCGACGCGCTGGACACTGGTCCAAGGGCTTCGTGCTCTAAACTAGCTGCGCGCGATGGCTTGGTGAGAAGCACCGTCTGAAGGTGTGAGGAGCCTAGACTTGGAACCAGCCTGCTGCGTTTGAAGCCCAGCTGGGTTACTTAGCGGCAGGACGGCCTCAGGAAAGTTGCTTCCCCTCCCTGTGCCTCAGTTTCCTCACCTGTAAATGACAGCACCTGATGGAGTTAATGGGTTAATTTCCTAGAATGGTGCCTGACACAGATTAAGTACAATGTGTTAGTTTTTTTCTTTGTTTTTATTTTTTTATTTTTTTATTTTTAAAAGATGACCGGTAAGGGGATCTTAACCCTTGACTTGGTGGGTGAGAAGACAAGTCATCCAAGCATGTAGGAGTGTTCTAGGAGAGGGAATAGAAAGTGCACAGGCCCTGAGAGGATGGAAGGAGAGAGGCAGGAGATGAGACAGACAGGTAAGGGGTTGGGGGCTTTGGTCTTTACTCTGAGAAGAGGAGGTGAGTGATGATTGTATGAGAAGACAAGTCATCCAAGCATGTAGGAGTGTTCTAGGAGAGGGAATAGAAAGTGCACAGGCCCTGAGAGGATGGAAGGAGAGAGGTAGGAGATGAGACAGACAGGTAAGGGGTTGGGGGCTTTGGTCTTTACTCTGAGAAGAGGAGGTGAGTGATGATTGTGGCTTTGCCCCCACTGGATGCAGGATATGAAAGTGTCAGTCTCTCCTGGCAGATCATAAATTCCATGAGGGTGGGGACCTCATCTGCTTTGCTCATCACCCACAATGGTGTGACTCAGAGTTGTCACTCACTATCATTTGGTGAATTAGTGAGATTACTTGATGCCTGGTACTGTGCAGTGGCAGGTTAGAGCCAGCACAGAGTGGCTACGAGGTTGGGTTCTGGAGGTCAACCTGCTCACAGGTAGAATCCTCTCTATCCCTTACTGCTCTGTGGACAAGTAAGTTAACCACTCTGGACCTCTTCTGTAAAATGGAAAACTTACCTCATAAAGTGAATGGTTTTGCACAGAGCCTCCCCGGTACAAGGTAAATAGATGCTCAATAAATGTTACTTTTTATTACTCACAAACATCACCTCATTATTCATGAAACTGGCAACAGGGTCCCCATGTCATATATGAGACAACTGAGTGTGAAAAAGGTGCAGTTTCTTGTCCAAGGACACTCAGTGAGTAGGTTGTGGAGCAGCAGCGTGAGACCTTCCTTGTACACCCTCAAGAGATAGCTCTTTTCTTTTCTACTGTGCTAAAGTTGTGGGGTGGGTGGCCATGGCCTGGTCCTCCAGAATCCCACCCATTCACTCCTGTATTATAATTAGGATACAGCTCTAGCAGCTTTTAAAGAGACCCAAAGGACAGAGGCTTAACAAGATAGTGTCACTTTTCTCTGATACAAAAGCATGAGCTGGTTGGGAGCCCAGAGCAGGTGCATGTGGACCCAGGCTCCTCCATCTTGTTGCTCTGCATCCTCCAGGGTGTTGCTCTTGGACCTACAGGGAGACCCACCCCCCCCTTCGGGTGACTGGGAAGGGCAATGGCAAGTGGAGGACATACTGCTTTCTCTTAAGGACCTAGCTGGAAGCAGCACACACCCCTTCAACTCATCCATTGTCCAGGACAGATGGTCACATTTTTTCTTTTTCCTTTTTGTCTCTTTTTTCGTGACCGGCAACGGATCGCAACCCTCAGTGTTGCCCCCGTACCGGACCGGGACCGGCAACAGGATCGCACCCCTCGGTGTTGCGCCCGCTCCTCGCTCAGCCAGTGAGCGGCCGGTCTGTATGTGGGATCCGAACCCTCGGCGGGAGCGCCACCACACTTCCCAAGCGGCACACTGTAGCAGTGCGCCACCGGGCCGGCCCAGATGGTCACATTTAACTGCAAGAGAGACTGGGAAAATATTGTTCCTAGCTAGGCAGCTGTGCCTGGGTAAAACCTGGGGAAAATGGACATAGGAACCTGTCACTGTAACTACTGCCTACTGGTGGCACTGAGGTCCCTTACTCCCCAGTTCTGCCTAGCCCAGAGTTTACAAATGGAGGCCAGATTATAGGTGGGAAGGTAGACAGAGAAACACTTAGATGAAAAACGTATCAGGGCCGGCCAGGCTCACTTGGGAGAGTGTGGTGCTGACAACACCAAGTCAAGGGTTAAGATCCCCTTACCAGTCATCTTTAAAAAAAAGAAAAGAAAAGAAAAACCTATCAACTATGTTCCAATAAATAAAGAAAAACATAAGTGTGAGGTCCAAAGACAGCAAAGTATGGCCATTTTCTGCTCTTTGGAAAGTACTAGGTTCCTGCCATTCGGTTCTCATCTACCATGGCTAACAGGACCAGGGACAGTAGCTTATGTCTGTCCTCCCCAGGCTATGCCTGGTCCTGGGCATTCCTTGCCTATCAATGGGCACAGGCAGGGTTTAGGATCGCTGTTGTCTTGCCTTGGCATCTGATGGCTCTGCCCTCCCCTGCTTGTTCACTAATTATTTCTGTCTATAATGACTTGATGCAAAGGGTATAAACAGTGCCTTCTCCCTTGTAGGAAAAAAGAACTTGTGTTCCCAACTGGCCTACAGCCATATTGATGTCATTCACCCCTAGATCATCTTACATTTCACCGGCAGACGTCCTTCAAGGGGTCGCTCCAACCCTCAAATTTTTACTTAATCACTGCAAGTTAGGAAAAGATTTCTGGATGCCAACTTTAGTGGACAGGGAAGCCAAGACGGTGTATGAACGAGAGGTGGTGTTGGGAGAGACAGTCCCCCACGGGGGTCTCGTGCTCCTACACATCTGAGGGTTGACGTGGTTGACTGGAAAAGCAACTCCTGCAAGGCTTGGTTTAGTCTCTTCCCTGAAGTTAACATGCACAGAGTGACTTTATAAACATCATAATCCTTATTCTGGAATGTTTTCTTTGAAATTAACCACATTCCAGGAAATGGGTGACCTTAAGCACATAGTATGTAGGGACCCGGTTTCCTTTCTCACCAAACAAAAGCACTGTACTGGCCTTTAACTACAACCAATACTGCTTTGGCCCTTGATGTTCTGGGATACTAATAATCAGAAAACCTTAACGGACCATCCTTTGGGAAGTGCCAAGGGGCTGACAACCCAGCTGGGGAGGCCCAAGCTTGGCCTCCACACAGCTGACTGTTGGGTCTGGGATCTGATTTTATTCTACTTACAGGCTAAATATGCCTGTTACTGTTTCAAAAATGCTGGCAGAAACCTTGACACTCCTGGTCAGAGAAAAAGGTTTCATTACAGTAAGCAGCATAAGCATGTGTTGGTTTCTCCTGTCCCATGGGGGCAAAGCAGAGGACCCAGGTGGATACCTGCATATGCAGTGGATTGTTATTAAAAAAGAACATTAAGCTTAGGGAATCTGCACCATTATACCAAGCCTACTCTTTGTCCCAGTGGGAGACACTACTGCATCCCTCAAGGTGCTCGCTGCAAACACAACCCTGAGAAATGACCTAGGTAAAGAGCTGCCAGGTTCACGCATTCTTAGCATGCCCAGTAAGACCTGTAGGAGTGCGAGACTCCCACAGAGGACTGTCTCTCCCAAACTACCCCTTGGTCCTACAGTCTTGGCTTCTGGTGAATTTTCACGAGTATGCCATTCCACTGACCATTCTTGATTAATCTAACCAACAGAGACTGGGGCAGTTTGTCTTGTTCAGTTTGTCTGATACAGCATCTGCGTAAGGCTACTGTCAACAGGATTCCAAGCAGCAGAATGAAGCCAATCTATAGTATACATTTTTTTTTTTTTTTGCAATTGGCCACTAAGGGGACCTGAACCCGTGACCTTGTGGTTGTAAGCCCGCAGTCTAACCAACTAAGCTAACCAGCCAGCCCAAACTATAGTATTAACCTGTCATGCTGCCCAGGGTCCTGGTGTGAGAGGGCCAGTAGTTCTTATTTCAGACAGCCCAGATGTAGTCTAAAGCTAGTTTATCACCTACTAAGACCCACGCAAAGGAGCTCAGACTGACCTGCTAGTCTTTGGTAGCACTGCTAGTTGCTACAATGCCAAAAAGCAACCCTCATCTCCAGTGGAGAAACATTCTGTGGCCCACCTTCTCATACGACAAACATATAACCTAAAGGGGCACAGTGCACTCCAGGCCAGGAATTGTTGTTAGACTTGGGCCATCACTGCATTGGTTTAGTGAAGTCCCATGGGCAATGCTACTGAGTTGCAGCCTCAATTGCTAGTCCTGGCATAGTCCAGTGCTTCTTGGGCGTCAGAAGCACAAGATTTTGTATCAACCAGATTGGAATATGGCTGTGCTGGTCCACGTGTTTAGAAATGTCTGGGGGGTAGGGGGGGAATCTCCACATTCAGGAGTTGCCATTGACGGCATCTGGTACAGAATAGTTCAGGGCTGGCCATGTCTACAAGTGCGTTTTGTAGCAGGTCAGACTGCCAGCAGCAGATGCTGCTTGACTCAGGTGGGCCAGGTGATCGCTTGGCCAGGTAGCAGTGCTGGATCTAGAGGACAAGGAGAGTACTGAGTGTACCCCCTCACTCCCCTGCACCTCCTGGAGTCTGAAGTGTTCCCTCCCCAGGTGCCGGGGTGTTGCTCTCCCTCTAGGGACACAAATTTGGTGTGTATCTCATCCCAGTAAGTACAGCTTCACCTCTTTTATCACCTATCCACGCCCTGACCTTTCTTTGGAAGGGTCAGATATGAATGGAACAAAGGCATTTTTACAAGTTTACAGAGCCCATTCTATCTCCCACTGCAGGGAGAACTTGGCAAACAGGGCATTCAACCAAGTGGTCATTGTCTTCATGACCCGGGACCAGTCAGTTCAGGAAGGATCCAGCAGCCTGAGCCAGAAGTAACTTCAAATCCCCTTGACCTCTTCCAGTCAGGCTGCACCAATCAGTAAGGAGAAAAGAAGATGCCCAGGAACGATGAGGGTAGAATCCCAAAATCTTAAAAATAGTCTATATAACCCCAAAGCCTTTTGTCCTACTGTTACCCAGGAGATGGCCTAGAGAGAAACCCTTTCTGGGGACAGCCACACTGTGTGTGTGGACCAGGAGAAGGCAGAATGAGAACTGAGTTGATTTTTTATTTTTTAAAAAGATGACCAGAAAGGGGATCTCAACCCTTGACTTGGTGTTGTCAGCACCACGCTCTCCCAAGTGAGCTAACCGGCCATCCCTATATAGGGATCTGAACCCATGGCCTTGGTGTTATCAGCACCACACTCTCCCAAGTGAGCCATGGGCCGGGCCGACCCTCTGAATTCTCATCCAGCCGTCACAACCCGTTACAGGTGAGGACACTGGAGGGTCAAAAGAGTTACGTGGCTTGCCCACTGTTGCACAACTCTTCCCAACACCCAGGCCCTCTTTCCTTGGACCACAGGCTCTCCCAGAGCTCTGGTGTCCTGATGTGTCTAGGACATGGTAAGTAGGTTGCACTTGCTTACCAACTCTGAGCCAACTGTGATGACTGCCTATAGTGCCAAGCTAAGGCCTGCAAGGTTTGGCTGAGAGAACACCAGAGTCCATTAGCAGTACTACCATGGGTGAGGGAGGCAGAGAAGTAACCGATAAGTTATTTGTCCAACTTGCTGCTGGAATAGATTTTTAAGCCCTAAGGGATTTGTGGGAAGGGCCAAGGGAAGGACACCCAAATCTTTTTGTTCCAAGGTGCATTCAAAGCAAAGTCTGGAACTGTAATGCTGCACCAGCCTCCTGAGTCACTGAGGCAGGTGGAGGCCTAGGCTGCCTGCCTGACCTGACTTCGTGGGTTGCTCAGATGCTTTGCACCTCAGGACAGCCCTGTTTGGAAGGGGCAGGGGAGGAAAGGTACTTCTAGAGTGTAGAGACAGGAAGGTAACCTGCACAGGTAAGCAGCAGGACTGGGCTATAGCCTGGAGGCCAAATTCAGCCAGGCAGTAGTACTCTGTCCCTGTTTCAACCCAAGGGTATATGGGAGACTTGACGGAAAGGTCCAGTGAAGGATCAGGAGCTGCCCCTCCCCTCACCCCTTCAAGGTGGGAAGACTGCAGAAACGCAGGAAGAAGTAAAAATCATGAACGCCAAAGTGACTTCAATTAAAACCACACCAATCCCAGGAAGGTCTTGGTCTTCCCTGGACAGCATGCATCCTTATGCCACCCTCCTGTGCCCTCAAAAGCAGTGTCCTAGGCCGGCCCGTGGCTCACTTAGGAGAGTGTGGTGCTGATAGCATCAAGGCCATGGGTTTGGATCCCTATATATAGGGATGGCCGGTTAGCTCACTTGGGAGAGCGTGGTGCTGACAACACCCAGTCAAGGGTTAAGATCCCCTTACTGGTCATCTTTAAAAAAAAAATAAAAAGCAGTGTTCCAAGGTGTGGGTTTCAGTCCATAGCGAGTCATAAAAATCAGCTCAGTGGGTTGTGGCCAGAATTTTTAAAAAGTGAAAAAGAAGAAGAAAATATCAGTTCACCACAGGTGGTAAAACTAAGTGTTGTTTGGTGAAACTTTATGGACACTCAGTAATGTAAAATTTATTTCATACTGTGTTTTGTATTCACAAAGATCTGTAAGACACTATTTTAAGGGATCTGTAGAACGGGACATCTCACATAGCATCCTGTGATAATTTTGGTAGTGTTTAAATTAGCAGTCCCATGAAGAAAGAAAGCTCATACTGAAATTTATTTTAAAAGGGAAAGCCCTTTTTATTAAACTTGTACATTTTACCTTCTTCCTTTCAGAATCCTAATAAAAAAAAAAACCTTTTGTTTCTGCTTGCTTACAAAAAAAAACATTAATCAATCAAACAATGGAAACTATTATAACATCATTTTTCTGATGGGAAAGGAGACAATGGGATTCAACATAAGCAAAGAAAACTATACCAAGAGGAACAAAGTAAATCAACAAGGAAACAACTCTGGGCTGCTACCAGACCATTAGCAATGTCAAACACAGCCCTTCCCCAAGAGAATTCCCAAAGCAAACCCACCCTGGTGAGACCAGAAAGCAGCCTTCTTACCTTCTGGAGTTAACAAAACAGACCAAAGCCCTAATGATAAAATACAAATCAATCATTCTTTTAAAAAAGCACACACACGTTCTCCCCTCCCTTTCCCAGTTCTCCTGGTGACAGGGCATTTACAGGACGTCTGTGTTCTTCACCAGCTGCTCCTTGTCATCTGCAGAGCTCCAGACAGTGCGAAGGGCCCGCTCCTGGTTCCTTCGTGCCACCCGGATCAGGCAGACCACAGAGGCTCCCAGGAAGAGGATCAGGACCACCACGAACAGCCCTGCCAGGACCACCACTGGGGAGGAGAGAGAGGTCCAGGACCAGTGAGGCAAGGAAGGGTGCAGCCAGGCAGGGCAGCACAGAGGCTCACCAAGGACGCAGGGAGTCCAAGTGAGCTTAGGGTGAGGACCAGACACCACCTGCCCAACCCAGAAGGGTTTGGAGACACTCAGCTGGAGAGAATTGACAGCCTGCCAGAGAAGTCACCAAGGAAATTCCCTGAAAAACGGAGGTGCCACACTATGTGCACACCAACAGAATGGCTATTTGTGTTCCTTCTTTTTGAATAAAACCCATCTTCAAATTCTGTGTCCCCTGCTGCTTCTCAGGGGCAACCTGTACAGAAGTCCCACGACAAAAGTTGCACACAGGGGTGTAAAAACTACTTAGCCTTGGTTGTGTAAACATAAAACCCCAAAGGCTGTGTATTCACAAACACACCCTGACCAGCAATAGAAAAAGATGTGACCCTGCAGGTGGCTGGGGTGGCTGAGGTAGCTGCCTGTGGAATGAAGTCAGGCTAGAGGCAAAGGTGTATTTGGGGCAGTGCTGGGTGAGGACCCTCCTGCTCCTAACTGCCCAGGTAAATTGAACAGCGTTGCCCCCACTGCAGTCCCACTGGCCAGTTAAGATACTTTCTTTTCAGGTAGGACTCCATCTAAGCAATGTCACTGCCTGTGGCAGCTACCTGGCAGCCCATTGTCCCCCACCCCGCCCCCCACCACCACTTGGCTCCAGAATTGCAAACTGCCTCTCCAGCTCCACCCCTGGCAAACCAGGTTCCAGTTTCTAGAACACAGCAGACACCCAGGCCAAGTCGTGGCTCTTGAACAGGGAAACAGGTCAAGAAACAGGCCAAACCAGTGTGGCAGGTCTCTATGCTAACATCATCCACAACTCAGCCTCAGAAACAAAAGTGAGAGGACACCCGGCCTCCCAGTCAGACCTGACTGCTTGGGGAAAACAGCGCTGGTCTGGGGCTCACATGGCCCTCGATCCTGTCACCCATGACTGACTTTTCATACTCCATGGCAGTAAAGTACCCCCAAACTTTGGGTCAGCCTCAGGCCTGTGTGCAGAGATCTCCACATGCATAAGAGTAAGAACTTGCGCCCCAGTCATCCGCTGGCTGCTGAGGCAGAGACTGCCTCATGAGTTACTGACTCACTCCCAGCCCCACTGGTACACATTGTACAGTGAGACAAACATCCACCACATGTTTCAAGCTGCCTCACTATTCTCGTGTAGAAACACAGCTTTCTACCAAAAAGATGTTTATAATGAAGGATAATGTATCCAAGACAACATGAGCCTGCAAAAACACAGCTGGAGAGAGCTGAGCTTAGTCAAGAAAGGAAGGTGGCAGGCAGAGAGCAGGCAGGTGGAGGACGACAAGAGGCTGTTTACCTTTAGTGCCAGGGGGCAGGACTGGATACATCTGCTTGCCTGGATAAGAAGAGAACACACAACGCTGAGAGGTCAGCTCACAGTCCTCCCCCACACCACAGAGCTGCCACCAACAGAGGACCCCCCCCTCAGCCTCAAGGCCTTCACAGGAGCTTTTTCTGAGGGACTTCTTCCGGCTCTTCGGAGGATTTTGGGCCTCACCACCATGGTAGGGTCCAAATGGCAGCACTTCCAAAACTCTCATTTTAGGGATGGGGAGATGGAATGGAGTCCTCTGAGGGAAGGCTCATCCACCTACCACTGCCCCTTGGATTTAAGACTCAGGTAGACTCACCAAAGCAGCGCTGCATGCATGCCTCCTTGGAGAGGTAGCTGTTTTTATTGCCCCGGCACCCTCCATAGATGAAATAGTCACAGGAGTTCTTCTCGGCATCAAAGTACCAGCGTGGGAAGGCTGCACGGCAAGGCCCGGTGACTGCCTTGGCAATGCAATATTCTGGAAACAAGACAGCCCAAGGAACACAAGTTAGCAGGGCCCAGGGAAGGGAGAACTGAGCTAGAATGCTGCCAGCTAATGGGAAAATGTCTCCCTGGTGAAGAAACTTGTCAATTACAGACAAGGCCAGTAAAGCCCACTTGACCCTCTGCTCCACATTTTCAGACATCTTCTTTACAGCCAAGACGGTATTAACTTGGAGATTACTCCATGCCAGGCGCTGTTCTGGGCATTTTACATGTACTGACTCAGTCTCTACCAGATCTATCCTGGGATCCTCATTTTATAAACAGGAACTCTGAGGCAGAGGTACAGTACCTTGCTCACAGCCACGAAATGAGAAAGAGGCACAGTGGCAGGGTAAATTCCAGAACTGCACACTGTGCTGCCTCTCCAAGGCAACACCTCTCTGCTGGAACATGCTGCTTTCCTGCTGGCCTGGGGCATCCACATGAGGCCTGTTATCTCCGACCCTGACCCCAGAGTGCTACCACCTGGGAAGGTGGGGAGTCCTGCACTACAATTTACTTTGTGGAAATCCACAAGTGTGTCTCAATTTCCAACTAAGATAAAAACACATTTTGACCCATACATAAAATTTTTTAAGTTATACCTTCATAGTTGAAAATATCGCTGGAGACGTCATCAGAGTCCTTCCTTCTGGGAACTGAAACACAAACATCTGTCACGGAATCTGGGATGGACACAGGACACGTGGCCTACCTGAGGCTGAGTCTAAAAGGGCCCACTGAGGGAATGCAGACACACTGATACCTTTAAGAAAGGGTGTGGAGCCCCTGCTGTGGGCAGCTCTGCCATGCCACCTCCCAGTTCTAATGGGCTTTGAAGCACACGCTGAATGAATGCTGGACTGGAAGGCCCTCCCACCATCTCAGGGGCCACTATGGAAACCAATCCCAGCTAGTTTCTGGTGTAATGAGGAAAATGGTCTTCACACATCTTCCATCAGAAGGTATGAACAAACATTTTCTGACACAGTGAGGAGGCCCGTCACTCTCTTGGGGAAACTTTCTTCTGAATAGGATGGAAACCAGTTATAATACTGGTGCTTCAGGGCTCTGGATGTCCCTGGAGAAGCCAGCTAGGGAAAAAGCAGCAAAGCCAGACAAAGCAACAACTAGCAAAGCAATGTCAAGAGAGTCACAGGATTCCTGGCCTAGCAAAACTGGAAAGGGGCTCTAGCCTAATTCTCTGGCATTCTGCAAGCCAGCCAATTGGCCCCTGGAGAGTCCCGTCCTCCAACAGAGAGGGGGCAGAATCTGAGTCCCTCCCTCTGGCAGGTCTTACTTGCCCAGCTGAGTCTACTGCCCGGGGACTGGTCTTTGGGAAAGCCAATCTGGCCCCTGAAGGTATGTTTGCTACCTGCTAGTGCATCGGGACCACTCACCCCAGGCTCCTGATGCAGAGTCCTTTAAGCATAAAGAGGAATAGGGCAGCTGCTGTTAGCACTACAAAGCAAGCTAACACAAAGCTCGAGATCAAGGAATGCAGTGGAATGGGGGGTAGGGTGGAGGGGGTAGCAGTGGACAGAGGGAGACAGCAATGACAATAGGGAGCAGTAAAGGAGGTAAAACAGGCAGAGAGGGTTGGGGAAGTAGAGCCAGCATAGCAGGCTGAGGCCCAGAGAGCAAGGGGCCTGACCACATGAGTGGCAGCCTCCTCAATCCCCTGTCCTCCAAAAGGAGGCTGGGGCCAGCCAGGAAGCACTATAGAATCCCTTGGCCCTCTTATCAGCTGCACAATGTGAACTCCCCAATGTAAGGATGCTGGCCAGAAGCAAAGCCCCGCTGTTTATCAATTCTGAGTAAAAAGAACCAGAAGGTAGAAGCCCTTTACAATTTCCAAATTACAAGTGTCCTTTCACAATTAGCCACCTGGGTGGCCCTCATTCTATCCTGTGTCTTTTAAAGAACCTACCACTTGGTGCAGAGGTATCTGCTCCGTTCCTGCTGGTGGCCAGATCATCAATGGAATTCTCTGCAAGGGGACAGACAAACAACAAAGTGAGAAAGTACACCTCAAAGACTGCCCAGTGGGGAAAAAAAAAAAGAGCTGCGTCTCTGAGCAGTTGTGAGGATCTCAGCAGGTACTGTATGTCTCTCACAGCAACTCTCATTTCTTCTTTTTTTTTTTTTTTTGGTGGTTGGCCAGCATGGAGCTCTGAACCCTTGACCTTGGTGTTATAAAACCAAGCTCTAGGGCCGAGCCCGTGGCGCACTCGGGAGAGTGCGGCGCTGGGAGCGCAGCAGCGCTCCCGCCGCGGGTTCAGATCCTATATAGGGATGACCGGTGCGCTCACAGTGCTCACTGGCTGAGCGCGGTGTGGCCGGTCTCAAAAAGGACAAAAAAAAAACAAAAACAAAAACAAAAAACCAAGCTCTAACCAACTGAGCTAACCGGACAACCCCCAATTCTACTTTACTTGGGACTTTGTGCGCATACTAGACCACAACAAGCCCAGTATGACTTGCAAATAAGGAACCAAAATTGCCCTCTGAAGATTAAGCTTTAAGATCAACTTGCAGGGAATCAAAGAAAAAACATGCAAAATGACTTTAAAAAGACAGAATAAGGCCTGCCTGGTTAGCTCAGTTGGTTAGAGCATGGTGCTGATAACACCAAAGTCCAGGGTTTAATCCCTGTACCAGCCAGCTGCCAAAAAAAAAAAAAAAAATGACTTCCAGGGCCAAATAGTCTTTTTAAAAAATCGTTCTCATCTAGAAAACTAAAAAGTTAAGGGGGTGCACAGTGTAAATGTACTTAATACCACTGAACTATATACTTAAAAATGGTAAATTTTATGTCATGTACGTTTTTATTCCCCACACACAAAAGTTAAGTGGGTGGGGTGGAGAGGCTATCCAGTCCACGAGGGATGGGACCCTGGGTCCCTTGCTTCCCCACTGGTCCTTGGAGAGGCCAGGGGCTGGCCTACCTTGATGTCATTAAACAGTCACTTCACAAACCAGCTCCCCTTGTTCTGCCTCTCTTTATCAAGCAATCTTCCGGCAACTTGGCTAAGAGGCTTGCGTATGCAGACTGAAGGCGTGGGCACAGGGCCGTGTTTGGTCCCCTGGGTGGTTCTGGTTCTCATCATGAATTAATAAACTGGAATTCTGTTTCAGCTTCCCACAGAGCTTACCTGCCTGGGAGGGAATATGATGGCAAAAGACTCTAGGGACTAGTAGTGGCTCTGGCAGTTTTTAGCTCTCTTTACAGACTCACAGGAGGGTGCCTCAAGAGACACATTGTATCCACAATCAGATTCTAACAAATGAGCTTTCTGGGCCCTCAAGACTGGGGCCAGACTCTGGGCCACCTCTACAGAGACAACTGATCTGCCTTTTCCCAGCAAAACACAGCACCCCATGTCCCCTCGTAGTGACATCTTGTCTTAACGGCTCTGCTGCTTGTGTTCCATACTTCAGCTCTCTTCCTGACAAGATAAGGAGTAACCAGAGCAGACAAGCACATTTGCTATAGTCAACTATTTTTTTTTTTTTTAAAAAGATGACTGGTAAGGGGATCCGAACCTTTGGCCTTGGTGTTTTCAGCACCACACTCTCCCAAGTGATCCACGGGCCGGCCCTTATAGTCAACTCTTGACTGGGATAGCACAGAAAAGGTAGCAAAAAATCTCTCCCCATTCCAACTCCCACACCAAATCATAGCTGTCAATGGAAAAATACAATGATCTTCCCCTCAGTCACCATCTGGTGAGGTAGCCAGTTTTACCCCCAAAAGGTAAGGGACTGGCTTATATGATCTAAAAACAATACCCAGCCACCTTGGCTGTCCAAACACTTGCTGAGTGTCTGCAGAGCACCAAGCACACAGAGATAAATGAAATGCTCCTCAAGGTGCTCACAGTCACTGCTGGGCTTGTGTGCTCAGGCACCGGGTTTTAAACCTGAGGTCACAGCCAAGGCCACTCACTGTTGTCTTGTTTTCCCCTCTTCACACACAACCTTAATAAGTTTATCTCATCTCTGAATGCATAGCTCAAAGCCAAAAGAGATGACAGCCAGTTAGTTAGGTGACATGGATGAGGACACAGGCTGGGCTCAAAGGTTGACAGTGTGCAATGAGCATTTGGGGGCAACAGCACATCCCAGCACAGAATCATCATTTAGAGTCACAGCGTCAGTGCCAAGCCATCAAGAAAAGATGCATGAAGTCACATTCCAATGTTAGAGAAAGTGCCACTGAAAATCTTTAAAAGATTTCGAGGGCCAAACCCTCAGGTCTCTGGAACACTTGGGATGGATCAGGTCCCAAAGGGTCTCACTGTCATCAGCTCCCAAAGATCCCTTCATGGCTTGGCTCAGAGCCAGGATGCACTGTTGGGGGATCTAGGTTTTTATTTAAACTGTGAGGTTGGCAGGGCCAACATCTTGATTTCACAGAGCCCCTTGCAGGTGAGGGCTGGGAGAAGAATGGATTCCAGTATGTATGTTCCAGTTTTAACTGGACCCATAACTTGGTTGGGTGAGTTGGTTAAGTCATTTGTCCCAGAAGTAAAAATAACCCAAATGCCAAGGGAGCAAAGAGGACAGCCTTGTCTAAGCAGATTGGTCGTATAACTTCGTATAATGTATGCTATACGAAGTTATTACGGTTCTCCTGGTGACAGGGCATTTACAGGACGTCTGTGTTCTTCACCAGCTGCTCCTTGTCATCTGCAGAGCTCCAGCCAGGGCGAAGGGCCCGGCATCAATTAATAAATTGTCTCTAAAAAGTAAAATTTCCCAAACTACCACTATCTTACCTGTGACACCAGAACATTTCTCAAGACACTCCTCCTTGCTCTGGTAATTATTGTCATTTCCTTCACAGCCTCCATACACAAACTGCTGGCAGGATCCATCAGTAACATTATACCACCACCTAAGGATGGAGGCCCGGCATCTCCCCACCACCTTTGAAACTCGGCAAAAGTCTGAAACACAAAGCAGAACCCACTTAGCTTGGCAGGGCAATCCTTGCAGCAAAGGACACACACGTACCTGTAGGACGAGGCCCACAATTTTCCAGACCTCCAGCAGGAGAACCAGAGCCTTAAGTTCCAGCCCAGTTCCTCTGTGAGCTGTTTCCAAAGCCCTGGTTGTCATCAGGTCAACTTAGTGATTCCTTCCCTGAATAGGAAAGAAACATGTCACCTAACAACAAAGCTACCAACCAGCCCAACTATATTTCAGTTGTGTGTTGATTTTGTCCCTGCCCTCATGATCAAAGACATGCATGCTCAGTACAGAAACAATACTTTTAAAGGCAAGAAACCAGACTCCAGGACCCTTCTGGATGTTGCTCCAATCCCACCAGGCCAAAGGGAGCTTAGCACTGAAAGGTCAAGGTTGGAGAAGTGAGATCGGGAGGGAAGTTGTGCAGTCAGAACCCTCAGCGCCCCTCACATGTACCTTTCCTAACCTTTCCTGTGCACTCCTCACTGGGCAGGCCACTCCACACTCAAATCACCCCAAGAGCCACCCTCAGAAAGAAGCTGGCTAACTCTATCCCACTCTCCCGCCCAGCTCCAAAGGCAACTCAGGTTACACCCTTGCTCCAGCGCTTGTAATGGCTCCCACCTGAGCACATCAAGATGGGTCTGGGTCTCAAAGGGCCCCCAAATCTGGCCCCATTCTAATAAATGGGAAACAAAACAATGTTACAAAATTCTGGCCAGATACATTTGCTCAAAAAAGGCTAGAGGTCAGCACTCTCTCTTAAGAAGGGAGAGAGAAACAAGTGTTAGAAGCACCACCTCCACCAAAATGAGCCTTTCTCCTGGAGGACTCAGGATATTCCCTCAACATGTGATTCCACATGCCCTGTACCACCCCTACACCCTGGCCTCCATTGATCTCTGCCTGCTCAGCCTATAGGCTTCCAATCTACCTGGTGCCTGGCACAAGGTACTCAAAAAATATGCCTCAAATAAAAGCATTTCAGGGCCAAATACTTGTTTATATGTTGTCATTTACTCCTCTCTAGTTGTTTTCATGCTTGTTAGGTTTATTTCGCCAACTGGGGATGATCGTTGAAAGCACAGAGGGCAGGATTTGGGCTTCTGTTCTGTTTCCAGAGCCTATCAAGTGATGGGCATGAGACTGGATGTTCCACAAAAACACCAATCCATGGACCAAAAAAGACTGCTACTGTGTAAAACAAACACCCCAAGGAACTCCCACACACACCAATAAATCACAGGTAACTAGCACAGAAGAAAAGGCATATTCCCTTTTTTGGGGGGGGAAGGGTCTGCTGGCCAGTATGGGAGTTCAAACCCTTGACTTTTGGTGTTAGAAAAGAGAATTTTCTGAGGCAGGAAATTCTCCATCATTTGAAGGCAACCATCAACTACATCACCTGTTTAAAAAGCACCCTATCCAGACATTTCATATGAATGAAATCATACAATATGTCCAAAAAAAGGAAATCGGTAAAGAGAGGAAGTAGATTACTGGTTGCCTGGTACCAGGGGTGGGGATGGGGAGTGACTGCAAGTGGGCACAGGGATCTTTGGCAGATGATGGAAATGTTCTAAAATTGATTGTGGTGATAGTTGCACAACTCTGTAAAATGTACTAAAAATCTTTGGATGGTATATCTAAAAATGAGCGATTTTATGGTATGTGGATTTTTTTTAAAAAACAGAGTCACCTTTAGTCACTAACACACCAACCAGAACCAGCTGGGTATACACCTAGAGCTGGTATTTTTGACAATAAGCCAAAGGTCACAAAACATATACCATCAACAAGGCGCAAGGAAAACAGAGCAGAGAAGTACTCTGGTGTGTGTATCATTTTGCCCAACCCACACGGCTGTCAAATGCCAGAGGCAGCACTACTATCAGCAAGACAAGATGAAGAGGATCCAGTTATGATCCAAAACTGAAAACAAAATCAAGGCAGGGAACATCCAACTGCTACAGAGGGTGTCAAAAGCCTAGTCAATGCCCTGCCAAGTTGAGAGCCCTGGCGACCGGTCACTCTGGCTGCTTTGTGTCTTTGTTTCCTGAGCAGTTACAGGTACAGCCTTTTTATTAAAAAAAAAAAAAAAAAAATTGAGAGACTGTACATCGTACAATTGGGTAAACTGTATGGTATGTGAATTATATTTTAATTAAAACAGGGCTGGACAGTTAGCTCAGCTGGTTAGAGCATAATACTGATAACACCAAGGTCCAGGATTCAATCCCTGTATGGGCCAGCTGCCATCCCCCCACCCCCATCAAAAAAAGGTACATCAACGGGCCGGCCCGGTGGCGCACTGGAGAGTGCACCGGCGCTCCCATCGAGGGTTCGGATCCCATGTGGAGACCGGTTCCCGCTCACTGGCTGAGCACGGTGCGGGCGCAACACCGAGGGTTGCGATCCTGTTGCTGGTCCCCGGTAGGGGCACGACACTGAGGGTTGCGATCCCATTACTGGTCAG